ATCCTAGCATCTCACAAAGCATTTCCAAAGCATAAATGTATAAAATAAATAGGACAAGTTTCAATAAAAAGATCCTTGCTAATACTTCATTGTTCTCTTGTGCTAGTGACCACTCTGGGTCAAAGATGGTTGGGGTTAATGGTATACTCGCCATCTGTTATATTGTGTTACACTTGAGCTGAATGTACCATTGTGTCAACCCATTCACGGTGGTTAGCCACTGGTACTTGAGTGATGTTTAATATATTTGCCTCTATTGATTTACAAAATAGCTGTGTTGGACAATGATCGACTATATTTCTATTTGGTTTGGCCTTCATTCATAACAATAATGTGTTGTTGTTGTTGTTGTTGTTTGTCCTACACACCTCGTGCAGTGATGTCAGTTGAGTGCTACCCATTAGCATTTCAACTTGTTTCAATGATAATTGTCAGTTAGTGCCCTTATGTGCTGGGTTGATTGTATTGATTTTACTTAATTTTAGATAATTTTACTTAAAATTTCCACTAGCATACTGTCTGTATGGAGTTAGGATGATTTTGTATGATATATATTAATATTTATAACCTACAATAACTTTTCTATAAGCATATCTAACGTTTTCTGGTATCATTAGTCCATATATATTCTTCAGTGTCTGGCCTGATGTCATTTCAGCAACAGCGCTTTCAAGCGCTTTCCTCCACCATCAAACCATGCTGAAATCAGTAATACTCAATGGTTTAAAACGATAGTACATTCGGTACAAGGTCATCCTATAAATATTCACATTTAGGAAAATAAAGTGTGACCAATATTACATATGCTGATACCGTGTTCCCCTTTATGTACGGTCTTCTTTGTGTAAATTAGCACAATGTATAATTTGCAGATCATCCATAATTTTTACCCTGAATTGATCTACTCACAACAGCAGAAACAATCTATTGATCTCGATCTTAAAGCTGCTTTAAATATCTTAAATATGTGCTACAACCATTACCTTATCAGGGCATTTCAAATTCTTCCGAATAGTTGCTGCACTTTTTTCTTGTAAGACCGATAATCTCTGTTATTGATCTATATTACAGTGTTCAAAATAAGTGTCGGATTTGTTCAAGCATGTTGTACGCGCATCTAGGCATGGTACACAGGCGGCGGCACACAATTTTGCATGGGGCCGAGATCTGCTCACTAACCGTGCGCCGAATGTGCAACCTTACTTGGAGGGCCGGGCCATACTCCCCCTTAAACCTTTTGAAATATAGACCTTCTGAAACGCTAGTTCGAGGGGCAACATTTGATGAGACAAAGGATTTTAACTTTATTTCGGAGGGGCGACGCCCCGCCCCCCTTCCAACATCTTTTCCGATTGGGCAACCTCCGCCATGTGCCGCTGTCACTGTGGTAGGTGTCAAAAAGCCAAGGATTCATAAGGTCTGCGTAAAAATCACTTGTATTAACTAACTTGCAGGTTCTGGTTTCCTACTATTTACATCTGCTTTACTGAATTGAGTTGACAATCTTGTTGCCCAAGTTCAAGTGAATTCAAGTGAATATTTGTCAATTATACTTTTATGATTGGCTTGAAGTTATCATTATTAATATACACAACTATATTTTTCATTCCAGCTTTTAGCCTTATTCAAAGGGCTTCAGATCGTTATACTGTAATATGGTTGGCAAATTTAAATATTAAAATGAGATATATTAATAGCCTGTTAAAAATGAATAAATGAGCTTAACTATTGGTTATGTGGTACGTATGCTGGTAGGTCACTTTATACAACTGAGGCAGCTCTGACAACCACATTTGTTCAAGTTATTTTTTCTCAATTTCCACAATGAACAGTGAAAAAAGAGAAAATGAACCTGTGAAGTTGAAATGGTCAGAACTCTGTGAGAGAGTTTGCCTTACTAACACCAGTGATTCATTGCCAAAATGGTGGAGACGATGTCTATATACTGCTGTTGGAGCTATTTTGGGATTGCTATCCGGTATTTTCAACGGTTTTGCAGCCTTCTTTATCACATTGGTGCAGAATGATGGAATGCCAGTGTTCCAGGCCGAGTTCTTTATGAATGTTGGAATATTGATATCTATTCTTCCTTATATAATATACAGGAAGCAAAATATTTTAGGCAATAATCGCAAAGACCGAGCTGTTTTAATTTTAATTGGACTATTGTGGTTTGGATTTTTGTCATCGCTGTTATATTCACTGAAGATGGGTCATTTGGCAACCATGTTAGGAATATTTCACGGTGGACTACCTATTGCAACACCAATAATAGCGTACATTGTTATACGCGAAACCCCATATGCCACGGATGGCGTAGTCATAGTTATCAATATCGTTGCCATTATACTGTTGTCACAGGACAGGACTTCTGACAATTCCTCAGAAAATACTAGTGATTCGGCAACACTAGGCTATGCACTTGCTTTTCTCGCATCGATCCAATTATCATTACTTAGTGTTTTAGCACGATACTTAGAAGAACACATTAATTTTACAGTTGTGTTATTCTATATCAGCGCCATAGCAGGTACCACTTCATTAATACTGACTTTTGTTGTTGATAAATCCATGTGGTCAATGGGTAGAAGCACGGCATTGGAAACTGTGGCGTTTGTCATTCTTTCTGCACTGGCCGAAGCCTGTCGATTTGAAGCATTCCAACTTGAAGAAGCTACCACAGTTACATTACTGGCTAACATACAACTATTTGTAGCTTTTGTGTTACAAGTTTGTATCTTGTCAGTACTTCCGAATGGGTTTGCAATCTCAGGTGCGTGTTTAGTATTGCTAGGATCATTTATATGTGCT